AAAATTGATATAAAAAAAACTCCTATGTACTTTTCAAGTTTATATTATATAGATTATAAAATTTCTTTGTTTTCTGTTCCAGGACTTAAACTTTTCAAGAAACCTTTCCGGCCGTTTTGGTAAAGAAAAAAATACTCGATTTTTCCTATGCAATTTACCGCCGCCATTTTGTTACAAAATTTGTAATAAAAATTTTTTTTCTACACTTTAATATGTATTTAATAAACCCTCCAAAAAGAAATCCTATTCTAGTTTCCATTTTCTCAAAACAAATTATCAAAGATATAGGTCTCTTTTTCTGACTCTAGGGTAGTGTTACCCCTTAACGTAAAATTAAATTTATATAAATTTCATTTAGCATAAATTCCATTTAAAATAATTGTCATTCAGCATAAAATGTACTTGATATAAATTTCATTTGACGGATAACTCATTACACATAATTCTCATTTGACATAAAATTCAGTTGTCGTAGATTTTATTTTACATAAAGATCATTTGACATGGAAATATAGGCGCGAATTTCAAAATTGGCGAATCACAATGTTGTTGATAATATCTAATTGGTTACTTTTAAAATTCGCGCCGATATTGTTATGTAAAATGTAATTTGTGTAAAATGATTTTTATGTCAAATGAGAATTTTGTTGAATGACTTTTATGACAAATGAGAATTGTGTAAAATGTCTTTTATGTCAAATGAACTTTATGTCAAATAAAAATTATGTTAAATGGGATTTATACCAAATGAAATTTATGTCAAGTAAATTTTATGCCAAATGCGAATTATGTTAAATGTAATTTATGCTAAATTAAATTTATATAAATTTAATTTTACCTTAAATAATAATTATGTTAAATGATATTCACGTCAAATAAAATTTATGTCAAGCTAATTTTATGTCTAATGATATTTATGTCAAATGAGAATTACGTTAAATGACATTTATGCCAAATGAAATTAATGTCAAATGAATTTTATAATAAATAAAATTTACGTTAAATGAGTTTTATGTCAAAAGAAATTTATGTTAAATGATTTTTATGTCAATAGAAATTTATGTTACATAATTTTTATGTCAAATGGGAATTATGTTATCTGAGTTTTATGTAACATAATATTTCTGTTTAATGAATTCTATGACAAATGATATTTATGTTAAATGGTTTTTGTGTGCAATGAAATTTATGTCAAATAATGTGCATATATTGTGAATTTTAAGTTAAGTAGTTTTATATCAAATAGCTATTTGGTCAAAAAAGATTTCGGGAATAAGCATGCGTCTCGAAAAAAGTGGTTTTGAGAAAAACGCGGTGAAAGTTTTGGTAGCTGTAGCTTGCGCTCGTGCACTGTTTAATTCTACGCGCTGTAACTTTGTTAGTTTTTCAAATATCTGTCTAAAACTTTTACACGATATTTCTACGATATCGTACTTTCGAAACATGCAAAAAAATCGATTTTTTCAAACCGTAACATAGGAAAAGTGCCTTACGGCTTTTGTTAGAAGGGTTTCGTAAAAAATTAGGTCCTTTTAAAAAAATATAAGGCTGTATAATAATTCTTTTTTTTGCATCTTTAAATGCTAATGTAATTAATTTTAATGGCAGAAGAAGAGGACCATTCTGTTACAAAATTCAAGGTCAAATTTACTATCAAGTTAATAGTGCTTTATATCCGGATAAAGGTGAGGATCCATGTTTTGGTCAATTATTTATTTATGACCCAGAGGAATCAATCAGATACAGATTAAAAAGTAACGAAAATTTGGATGAAGACAGTTTAAAATCTATAGAAAATATTATGAGAAATTCTAATGCATACACAAAATCTCACATGATGATGTCAGAGGTAATTCAAATAGAAGCTGAATTAGCAAGACAAATAGTGAAGAAATTCCTGAGTTACAATTATTGTTCACGTTGAAAAAAGGATTAGATAAAAATAGATACAATTATTTATTTATTTTGTTTATACACCCGTCTTAAGCCTACAATCTTGGCTATACAAGTGTTTTTACAACCGTAGAACATTCCTTACAAACATTTCTTAATAATAAATTTTTGCGCCTACAGAGCGACTTAAAAATTAGGAGTACTCGCATTTGCCTGGACCACCCGTTATTAAACGGGTAGAGAGGGAAACTGTAGAAAACCTCTCCGAGTACAACCGGTTTATCGACAGTCGAATTCTAATGGTGTGTACCGGACAATAATCGACGGTGGACATCATTATACTTCGACGTCAAACCTCCCGCTCAGATTATCTCACGTGCCGGAAAAATCCCAGGCTAATGGGCGCAAACCAAGTACCCTTGGTCCGCTCACCGAGCCAGGCATTTATCCGACCGAGCCAATCTGTCGGTTAAATAGATACAATTATCAAAGTTTTAATGAAGTTGCTGCAATTTTTAATACAAACTTTGAAGGAGAAATACCAGAATCTTATGAAACAGTTTATAATAAATCTACAAAGGAATTAAAATTTGTTGGTAATTTAGATCCGAATGTTGAACCATGGATTTATCCCATCTTTTATCCACTTGGAAATAAGGGTTATAATATTAATATGATTCGTAGTGATAGTGATTACAGAATTAGAAATCATACTATTTCTAGGTCTGCCTACATTAAATACGAAATTGCTGTAAGAGATAAAGAATTTAATCAATTTTTATATGGAGGTAGATTGTTTCAACAATGGGTGGTTGAAAATGATGTAAAATTAGAAAAAGATAAATAAAGATTTTGTGCAAATAACCCATTAACGCCTGAAACCTTTGAAATTTTGTGTTTAATTTAAGATATAATTTTATATATTAATCATGCTCCCCAAAAATAACTGAAGCGTTTCTTTATGTTTTCGGGGTCGTTCTACAAGATTCCATGCTCAGATTTTAAATTTATTGCATAGAAAATTAAATATGGCGAATTTTGTGCACCAAATTGCGAAAAAAATTAAATTTTTTTTTAAATAATTATTTCTTACTGAAAACATTTTTTTCAAATGAATACAAGTGTCACAAATTGGCACAAACTTATTAAACTTTCAAAATATGCAATAGCGGAAACAAAAAAACAAAATGGCGGCTTCAAAATGGCGCTAATTTGAGAAAAAATTAATTAATTTTTTTTATAGTGCACCGATTCAGGCAATAGCTATGAAATGTAATAAAACTTAGTGTTTATATGTTTTTGAGATCTCTCATCACGAATATGTACTCGGATTTTCAAAATTCAAAATGGCGGATCCAATATGGCCGACGAAAATTTTAAAAATTTACTCGATTCGCTTGAATTTTGTTACTCAGAGGTTTTTGAGGTCGCTGATTGTGAATCTGCAATCGGATTTTCAAAATTCAAAATGGCGGATCCAATATGGCCGACGAACATTGTAAAAATTCACTCTATTCGCTTGAACTTTGTTACTCAGGGGTTTTTGGGGTCGCTGATTATGAATCTGCTATTGGATTTTCAAAATACAAAATGGCGGATCCAATATGGCCGATAAAAATTGTTTAAATCAATTCTAGTCGCTTGGAATTTGTAAAATGATGACTATCTATTTGCCGTCAGAATAAGACGTTTACCAACTCTCTAAATTATTCTAATGATATTAAAGCTAAAATTCGATAATATTGGTCAACTACTCCTTATCTGTCATCTCAAATTGTTTCATTAACAATGTCAGGTTATAAGTTTTGCAATATTAAGTCTTATGCTAAGATAGTGTTGAAACAATTTATCTAAGCCAATTAGATTTAGACCTACAATTTTTTCGTTGTGTACTTCTGAGGGATTTGATTTGTATTTTGCCTTATTCTGACGGCAAATAGATGGTCATCATTTTACAAATTCCAAGCGACTAGAATTGATTTAAACAATTTTTATCGGCTATATTGGATCCGCCATTTTGTATTTTGAAAATCCAATAGCAGATTCATAATCAGCGACCCCAAAAACCCCTGAGTAACAAGTTTCAAGCGAATCTAGTAAATTTAAATAATTTTTGTCGGCCATATTGGATCCGCCATTTTGTATTATGAAAATCCAATAGCAGATTCATAATCAGCGACCCCAAAAACCCCTGAGTAACAAAGTTCAAGCGAACAGAGTGAATTTTTACAATGTTCGTCGGACATATTGGATCCGCCATTTTGTATTATGAAAATCCAATAGCAGATTCATAATCAGCGACCCCAAAAACCCCTGAGTAACAAAGTTCAAGCAAATAGAGTGAATTTTTACAATGTTCGTCGGCCACATTGGATCCGCCATTTTGAATTTTGAAAATCCGATTGCAGATTCACAATCAGCGACCTCAAAAACCCCTGAGTAACAAAATTCAAGCGAATCGAGTAAATTTTTAATATTTTCGTCGGCCATATTGGATCCGCCATTTTGAATTTTGAAAATCCGAGTACATATTCGTGATGAGAGACCTCAAAAACATATAAACACTAAGTTCTATTACATTTCATAGCTATTGCTTGAATCGGTGCACTATAAAAAAAATTAATTAATTTTTTCTCAAATTAGCGCCATTTTGAAGCCGCCATTTTGTTTTTTTGTTTCCGCTATTGCATATTTTGAAAGTTTAATAAGTTTGTGCCAATTTGTGACACTTGTATTCATTTGAAAAAAATGTTTTCAGTAAGAAATAATTATTTAAAAAAAAAATTTCATTTTTTTCGCAATTTGGTGCACAAAATTCGCCATATTTAATTTTCTATGCGATAAATTTAAAATCTGAGCATGGAATCTTGTAGAGCGACCCCGAAAACATAAAGAAACGCTTCAGTTATTTTTAGGGAGCATGTTTAATATATAAAATTATATCTTAAATTAAACACAAAATTTCAAAGGTTTCAGGCGTTAATGGAATAATCAAGCTCAAGTGAGAAGTGAAAGATATAATGGACTGATGGATTATTTACACAATCATGTGTTGGAAGATGATGTACACGTGTGAAAAACGCTTATATTGCCTTCTACTTTTTTAGGATCACCTCGAAATATGATGCAACAATATCAGGATTCGATGGCTATTGTTGCTGGTCATGGAAGACCAGATTTATTTATCGCAATGACGTGTAATCCAAACTGGAAAGAGATACAGGAAAATTTATTCCCCTATCAACCTGCTGCTAATAGACCTTATATAGTAACTAGGGTTTTCGCATTAAAAGTTAAACATCTACTTAAACCTATTGTTAATAATAAATTATTTGGAGAAGTCAAATCTTATGTTTATGTTATTAAATTTTAAAAACGAGGATTGCCACACATTCATTTGTTAGTTATATTGAAAGAAAATTCTAAAATATTAACAGTTGAAAGTGTTGATCGTTATATTTCTGCAGAAATTCCTGATGAAAATATTAATCCTATTTTACATAAAATAATAATGCAAAATAATATTCACGGACCTTGTGGAGATTGGTGTTTAATTGATAAGAAATGTTCAAAAAAGTTACCAAGAAGAAACTACAATTGAAGAAAATTGCTATGTTCATTGTCGTCGAAGAAATAATAATAAAGCGTATGAACGACCAAATGAATTTATTGTTGATAATTCTAATGTTGTTCCGTATTGCCGTAAACTTTCAGAAATATTTAATTGACATATTAATGTACAAATAGTTTCGAGTATCAAGTCTGTTAAATATTTATATAAATATATTCTTAACGGGCATGATGATGCATCTATTGTTATCACAAATGCGAATGGTGAGGTAACTGTTAATCATAATGAAATACATCATTATGAAGAAAATAGATATGTTGGTCCAGTTGAGGCAGTTTGGAGAATTCTAAGTAAACCTTTAGAGAAAAAGAGTCATAGCGTTAATCGCTTACCCATACATTTGCCAAATGAACAGAATGTTATTATTCGAGAAGAAAAAGATCGTAACGGCATTTCTTTCGATTTAAATACAAAACTTTTGGATTATTTTAAACTTAACCAACGAGAGAAGTAATGTTAAAAAATATTATTATTCAGATATACCAGATACATGGGTAACAAAATCTCTTGAATGGAAACAAAGAATTCGTAAAGTAAAAGTATAGGGAAGAATGTATTCAGTTAATCCACATCAATTGGAGTTATTTTATCTTAGATTATTATTGTTGCTTACAGTAAAAGGAGCAACTTTTTTTGAAAGTTTGAGAACAGTTAATGGAGTTGTTCATGAATCTTTTACAACTGCTTGTTTGGCATTTGGACTTGTAGAAGATGATAGTGAGTGGATTAGGACAATCGAAGAAGCTGCATTATGGATGATGCTTCATTCACTTCGACAATTATTCACAAGAATTTTAATTCAATGTCATCCTGTACATCCGGTTAAACTATATATGGGAACAATTTAAGGGTCAAATGTCAGAAGATTATTAAAAAATAAACGACATTAAAGCTGAACAAAGGGCTTGTAGAAATATTAAAACAATGTTATTTAACGAAGGATATAATTTAACTGACTTTAAGGGGTTATTAGATATACAAGATGAAATTTTTACTGAACAAGTTAATGATATAAATATTGCAGAACATATTAACATAGGAGAACAGAATTATGCTAAATTAAATGTAAAACAAAAACTTGTAGTTGATTATGTACTTGATGCCCTAAAGGATTCTTCTTTTGATTGTTCTATGGCAATTGTTAAGAAGTAAAGGAATAAACTTTTGCAACATGGCATTTACAGGTATAACTGCAACTCTGCTTCCTAATGGAAAAACTGTTCATAAAGTTTTAGGCTTACCCGTTCCATTATACAGTGATTCATCTTCAAACATTAAAGTTCAATCTTTAAAAGGCCTCTTTTTAAAAAATATAGATGTTTTTATTTGGGATAAAGCACCATTGGCTCCAAAATATGATTTAGAAATAATGGATTATCTATTTCAACAAACCTTTTGGTGGTAAAATTGTAATTCTAGGCGGAGATTTTCGACAAACTTTACCAGTTAAAGAACGGGGTACTAAATCAGAAATAGTAAATTTCTCAATAAAAAATAGTAAACTATAGAAATATTTCAAAAATACACATTAACAGATAATATGAGAGCTTTACCACAAGAAACGGAATTTGTAGATTTTTTTACTTAAAGTTGTCAATGGTGAATTAAATGATGCAGATGATAATGTTACATTACCAGAACATATTATTCAAAAAGGGAATAGGTACACAAAATTTAAAATAAAATTTAATCCTTTAAAGATAAAATGTTTTTAATAACTATGTGTGTATCTTTAGAGTAATATTAGAAACTTTTCGGTGTAAAAACATTTCCATTTTTAATATCAGAAAGAATAGGGGCGTGCGTAGCGCGCAAAAATAATGACTAGTATTATTAATTAAAGCTATAGGGCGATAGTTACCAGGTTCTTGCTTTTCATCTCCCTTATAAATCATTCTAAGATAAATAGTGGCCCAGGAATCAGGGAAAGTTTCCTTATCCATTATTTTATTAAAAAAGGAGCACACACACAATCCAATTTGCCAGTAAACTCTTAAAAAATTCATATGAAATTCCGTCAGATCCGGGAGTTTTATTATTTTTTAATTTTTTTATTACTGATATAATCTCATGACAACTGATTAGAGCATCCAATATAGGATTAATTACTTTGTTTGTAATTTCGTATATATTCAATTCAGCAGTACCATTTATCGGCTTAAAAAAATCTTGAAAATATTTAAACCATTCTTGCAAACTAATATTATCAACATGATTATATTTTCGCCTAAAGTTATTAACAATTTTCCAAAATGTTCCTGTATCTTTAGTTGAAGCGAGAACTTCTAGCGTGAAAAGTCTATGTGCCTCTTTCTTTAATTTTAAGATGCTAAAATACGTTTTTTTCTTTTCGTTATATTTATAAGACATATCTCCCTCAAAGTTACACTATTTACAATTCCTAAGAAATAAATTAAGATCTTTTTTAATTACCAAGCATTCCCGATCGAACCACGGTTTTGTCAATTCATTTTTCGAATTGCAAAGTGATATCATACCTATTTTTTCAGCATTATTACTTATAATTTAAGTTAATTTATCAGATATTTGATCGATAGAGAGAGAGAGTCAGGGAAACTGCATGGAGTTGATTCCATTACTTCAATAAATTGTTCTGAGAATTCGTCTTTCCATTTAATTATTCTTCTTTTATTATTAGTTAATTTATTTATTCTATCAAGAGTAGTAAAAGTTACAGAAATTGGAAAATGATCTGATTTTATAATTATATAAAGAACTTTAAAATTTTTTATTTCACTAATTCCAGACCAATTAACCCATGCTAAATCAATGACAGTTTTCCTATCGTTACTAGTGTATATGTAATTTGCTGGGAAATCTTTAGAAGTTCCTCCATTAAGGGCTAAACATCCATTTTTCTCCATGCAGTCAACCAATACACTTCCTTTTCTATTCAAGAACTCATCTCTATTTTCCCTATTACAGAAAAGATTGACATCTTCTGGGAGCATTTCATTTTCAATTTGGTTAAGATTTTTTCCGTGTTAGGTAGAAAGAGAGGAATAGAAATTGGTAGGGGAAGGAACAGTGGGGAATTTCACTTTCAAGCCAAAATACGAAAAGGGCGTCTTATTTCCTTATTGGCTAATTATTTTTCTTTTCTCACTCACAGATAGATTAAGGAGTGAAAGAGAGGGAGATCGAGAACGAGGTAAGAGTGAGGGGTATAAATTCTATCGGTATTCCATAAACCAAATGGACAATTTTTCAGCAATTTTTGACCCCCCGCCTCCGGTTGTGGACAATCGTGAACATTTGGAAAACCCCTCCCCCTTTACACTTGTCCACGTGGACAATAGAACATTTGAAAAATATGTAAGTATTTTCTTTTATGTTACACCTGCATTTTAAAAAGTAATAGAGCTCATTTTTTAACATATTTCAAAGCACGAAATTACGAAAATTATTAACGATTAAAATAATAAATAAACACTATAGTTTAATTAAACACTTCATTTTTTTAATTATTATATTGTTATATTAACCCCTTGGCTGTTAACGGGATTTCCACTGTTTGGGCCAAAAGTGTGTTAAAAAAATTTTAATGGATTTTTATGAAACTTGGAACCCTAAGGTTTCTGTGGTCGCTGATTACGAATCTGACATCAGTTTTTCAAAATTCAAAATGGCGGATCCAAGATGGCGGAATTTTTTCAAAATTCGTCGAATTTGCTTGAAACTTGTTACTCGGGGGATTTAAGGGTCGCTGATTACGAATCTAACATTAGTTTTCCAAAATTCAAAATGGCGGATCTAATATGGCGGACAACGAAATAAAAAATTGATCAGATTCGCTTGAAACTATATACTTGGGGATTTTCAGGGTCGCTAATTACGAACCTGAAATCAGTTTTTCAAAATTCAAAATATCTAGTCAATATAGCGGAAGATTTTTAAAAATTTATTGAATTTGTTTGAAACTGGTTAATCTGACATCAGCATGAAAATTTTTGGTAAAATCAAATTTCGATAAATACCCTGAAAAAATAATGACAGATTCGTAATCAGCGACCCTAAAAACCCCCGAGTATTCAGTTTCAAGCCATTATAATTAATTTTTTATTTTGTCGTCCGCCATATTGGATCCGCCATTTTGAATTTTAGAAAACTAATGTTAGATTCGTAATCAGCGACCCTTAAAACCCCCGAGTAACAAGTTTTAAGCAAATTCGACGAATTTTGAAAAAATTTCCGCCATTTTGGATCCGCCATTTTGAATTTCGAAAAACTGATGTCAGATTCGTAATCAGCGACCCTAAAAACCCCCGAGTACTTCGTTTCAAGTCAATCTGATCAATTCTTTATTTTGTTGTCCGCCATATTGGTTCCGCCATTTTGAATTTTGGAAAACGAAAATCATATTCGTAATCAGCGACCTCGAAAACTCCCGAGTAACCGGTTTCAGAAACATTTAAGAAGTTTTTAATCACCTTTTTTAAGTTGCGCATATATGCGTCATGAACCACTTTTGGCCAGTTTAGTTTTGCGCATATATGCGTCAGCGACAGTCAACGGGTTAACATTATTTTTAGTATTTATAATTACATATTTCCAAAAATCCAAATACATACAAAAATAATATTTTAGAATTATTTTTAACATTTTGGAGAAAACATTTATATTCAAAATTATTAATTAAAATTCATCAAATAATTAATCTGTTTATTTAAATTATACAAAAAATCTATTATTAAATTTAATCCTATTATATTATAAAAAAATTTGATCATTTTTATTAATATTTTTTACTAGTTATATTATTTAAAAAGATTTTATCAAATTTTAATTTTTTGAAGATAATTGAATCCTAAATAATCATTATAAAACAATTATACTAATTAGTTTTTAAAAATATTTTAATGTAATTTTTCGAAAATAATTAAATTCTTTAAGAGAGTTTCTGTATAATTTAAAAAAACTAATTAATTTTTTGATGAATTTCAATTAAAAATCTTGAATATAAATGTTTTTTTTTAATTTTAGAAATAGTTCTGAAATATTATTGTTGTATGTATTTAGATTTTTAAAAATATATGTAATTGAAAACACTGAAAATATTGAATTTTAAAAAATTAAAAGCCAATTTTTATAAATTTTTATTTTTAATTTTGCCTTTAAAGATTTTTTATTCTTTAAAAACTGCTTTTTAAAAATTGTAACAAAATACTTCAAATAAATTAATTATTTTTCAATTAAATTTTACAAAATTTCAACTATTTAAAAAGACTTTTATTATAGATATATTTCAAAAATTGAATTGTGTCTTAAAAAATTATTCAAAAACAATTTTTGAATGATTCGTTTATAGTTACTTTTTGCATTATCAAAATCAAAATAACTTGCACTTTTTCACTAAATATTGTGGTTTTTTTATTGATTGTCTCAATTTTCTTAATTTCCATGAAAAAAAATTTTCCTGACATTTCCCTGACTATAGTGTTAATATAATATTATAATAATTATAAAAAAATAAAGATTTTAATCAAATTATAGTGTTTATTTATTATGTTAATGATTAACCTATTAACGCCTGAAAAAGAAAAATTTTTTGCGCAATTTCAACCTATACTTTTCTGAACAAAAAGGATCATATTTTATTATATTAAGTGTGCTCTTTTCGATTCCAGTGTAAAAAAAAGATTTCCTTTCAACCCAAAAACTAAATATGGCGGTTATAATTTCAAAAACACAAAAAAAATTAATCTTTTTAAGATTGATAATGTTTTTATCCTTTAACCCCTTCTCAGTGTATGACGTCTATAGAGGCAAAAATAATTCGTGCCACCAATGTGTATGACCGCTATAGTGGCATCTAAAAGAGAAATCT